TAATAAAGTCAAATGACAGGTACAAAGACAGGGGAAAATCATTCATAACACCCTCCTTATATTATCTGGATGGCCACTGCAAAGAAAGGGGCTGCACAGATTTCTTTTCAACACACACACAGATTTCGCTTCTTCAGATGAATTCCAGTCGCCTCTGTTGCATGTAAAAATTGTAAGGGGTGAAATAAGATAAATAACTTTAAAAGCTCTTCCAGTGTCGTCTTAATGAACTAGTGTAACGGCAGAAGATGAGAGACTTGGTAAAGGAATGTTTATTAGGAATTTGGTTCCTCTATATAGCGAAATTATGTACACCTTATCTATAAACCTTCATTTGTATAGATCTTCCATGTCGCGCTACTTCTGCCCTTCATACTGTGTTTTTTTTGTCTTCTTCTCATGTCCCCCGTGTTTTTTGCTGCAACGCTAGTTCATTTCCTCTATTTGACGTCAAATCTATCTCTCCGCTATTTGATATTTTTGTGCCGATGACTGTCTCTTTATTTACTACTGATAAATCTTATCAGTAGCACACGCCACACAAGCATTGAGCTGCATGTAGTCTGACTACGATGGTTGGTATTCAGAAATTCGACGACGAACTTCCCCCACAGGAGCAGATAAAGTGGTAAATATACATGGAAGAGGCGAAGTAAGGCACTTTGTCATTATCTCATGAACTAAGTATTGGTTAGTTCGTGAATAAACAGTGAACAGCTCAGCTGCGTTGAAAATCCTTCTTAAGAATCTCAGACATGTTGAGACAATTTCACTAACAACGTCTCCTGTGAATTGTAGTTTTAGGGACACTGATCTTTTTTTGGAAGTGTAGGCTCTCTGGTCTTTGTAATTGCCGAATCCATATGTTTATTCAAAAATTCATCGGATATCTGATTTTACGCTCTTCGATGAGTATTTCGTCAGAACAAATAACTCTACCGTGATGAACTAAACTTATAGGCAGATTTCATTTGTATTGCAGAGGGACAAAACTCACAAAGTGGGTATATCAACTAGATGATTTAAGTTTTACAGTGTAAGCTTCTAAATATTCTTCCATCTTCTTGTCTTGTTATTAGAACATCCAAAAACGAGACAAAGCCATTCTCTTCCTCTATAGTAAAAATTATGGTTGGATGAGCTGTGTCAAATTCCTCCACAATGCACGCTGGGTCACTTTCATTGCTTAAACCTATAAATGTATCATCAACACAAGGCCAGCAGAAATCCAGATGATTTATTGCATCTTTGAGAGGGCCATTCTACAGTTTGGCCAGGAAAACATCTCTCTATCGCTGTGTTATAACGTGGATGACTCTACCAACAAGCATTTGTCCGTCTGTGGCACAGTGGTTATGACTCTCGTCGATCATGCACATGATCCGGGCTTCGACCCCCGGCTACCGACACACTCCTTTACCACGCTAAGCCAATAATAAGACTGGTGAAGAGGGAAGGTTGGGCATGAGGCCAGCAACCCCATCCCGTAAAAATAAACTCTGCTACAGAAACTTCAAGCCTCTAGCCTGAAGCCCTATGTTCCACTGGGAACGTGAAGGAATAAAAAAATAGTGTATGTGATCAGCATACTAAAAAACTCAACGGTTCAGGGGACTCGGAACTGCCTTTTTATTAATCACACATTTATTTAACTTGGTAATATGCTTTTGCACTGAATGACTTCAACTAAATCTGTCTATTTTAGACTGGCAATTGTAAGGAAACATAGTCCAAACTAACAATCAGAATTACTTATCACTTCAGTGCGCTTCTGTTCGAATATACAGTTTCTAATTGCTTGCTGTTCACCTGAACAGCCTAAATAACTTTTCAACCAGGTATTTCATTCTTAGCCTTCCTAAGTGTGGTGTCTGTTGGTGAAATCCAGGAAGGAGACGTTGTGTATTGATGAATCTCACTGACAGGTGTTATTTATGATGCCTGACAGGGCTAATTTACCATCCCTTGGAACATTAAGACAATTGCTTCTTGAATCCGTGTGAACCAATTGTTACTGAACCTGATTAGCTTTGCTCAGTGATTATAGTTGATAAGTTCTTGAAGAAGGAAGAAACATCCAGTCAGGATTAGAATCCTATTTCCTGCATAATCTCGTCATAATTTCATTTAAAATGACAGAGTTCTTTCTTTTTGTTGTTGTTACGATTAATATCAACTGTGAAATAATAATGTCGATTGAATCTACTCTAAACTGAAATGAAGTCGCAGTGTGTGTGTGTGTCCGTAAAACTTAACGTATTGATTAACTTTGTTCAACTGACAACAGCTACTACACACTCCACCCTAAGGCTGTCAAACTATCAGGAAGGCAGAACAAATGACCAAAGGATTGCTTAGTATTATTGAGTAGTGACTATAGCTCACGCACATGCGCGCACACGGACACACGTGTAAGCGCATAAAAGAATAGTGACACAAATAGACATGATTAGAAATTGCTTTTCTCTGACAAATAATTACAAAATGAAATGATTTTATACCTATCTAGATAGATAATGATTATTGAAACAAAACCCTGAGTGAATTTAAATCTCTAGATATGATTTTTTAGTAGTGAAAATTAAGTATGACCATCATGTCTAGTTTCATAAAGCTGCTTGTTGTCAACTGAGATAATGAATGCTGATTGTTGTACTGACAAAAGAAGTTTACAATTTGTTGTTTGATTTTCTGCTTATCTAACTCCTGGATATCGGTGTTTTTTCTTTTTCATTCTTATAGCTTATGTAGTGGCCATGTTGGTTGTTGGTGTCGATGAGTAGTCATCATCATTATAGGCAGGGGATGGGGGGGGGGAGTACTGACAGTAAAATAAAGTCAATAAAACTTCAAAAGAATTATTGCATAAACACACATTGTTCGCTGAACACTTACTTTCTCTTCAATGTTTTAAAGGTCACTGTGTTGATTAAATGGCATCGGATCACTGTGAAATAACCACACCCTGAGAATATAATCATGACATTAATTAAGAGTTAATCGATCAGTAAATGGCCAATCATTTAAACGTCTGCATTGGAACATTCAGAAGTGTGTTGTGAGAAGATAAATGGTGCGTTTAGAGATGAATGAACAACACTACCTACCTAATGTCAGTGGTTTAGTGGTAGAACACTCGCTACCCCTCCCCCCCACACACACACGTGGTCTGGGTTCAATTCGCAACCGACACACCTAGTTAACTAGTCCATGGTATGACTAGAACAGAAGGAAGTTTGGCTCTGAGGCTAGTAACCCCTCCTTCCCACCCATCCCACGGGTGAAAACAAAACTACTTCATCTGAAAATTTGAAAAGTTGAAGCCCTGTGTTCCACTCTTTCTTCCATCCCCTGCTATCCTCTTCAACTGGGTCCATGATTGCCCACAACCTATCTCTCATCTCCTCCTCAGACTCACACGATCTCCTCTATGTCATCCTTGCACCGACGATCCACTCTTCGTTCCCCATTCGGGTTCTACTCGAGTGACGATCTGGCACGCGTTGTCTTTCGACGGTCTCCTCAGTGTACGCCTAATCCGTCTCCATTTCCTCCTATATATTTGTTGAGCAATCGGCTCTTGATCTGTTTGTTGTCAGCCAGAGTTTCTTATTGCTAATTCTTTCTGGTCGGCGATTTCTTCTTCATTATAGAGCCATCCAGCTAAGGCAGATTGCAACCTTTTGGAAATGCTTTTCGTGAACGCAGCGCAAGTTTCCGACCCGTATAGAAGGATTGACTTGACATTGGTGTTGAAAATTCGAATCTTGTTCTTTTTGTTGAGGCGGAGTTCTGAAGATTTACAAACTGATTTCAGAGTGTCGAAGGTGTATCTTGCCTTTCTGATTCTGCCGTGATGTAATGTGAAACCGTATTTTTTTTCTGAAATTCCTACTAAGTCAGTGTACGGAGCAAAGTATCAAAAGCAGGTTATTTGCTCGAACTGCACCAACTCATGTGACTGGAACATGTATATTGCGTCTGTTAAGTGACTACCTTGTAAAGTGGCTGAAGTTAGCTGAGGCAGGATCTCATTGGAACAGAATTGGAATTAGGCAGATCAAGATATACATATTTTTATCTTTAGAGCTTTTGATGCTAATTTGCGAATTACCAGCAGTGCTTCCCATAAGGAAGTAAAGCTGGTATGTGTTTTTCGTGATTGTTTATATATATGATTGTTGTTTGATCTAATAAGAAAGGTGTCAGTAACTTTCTATCATCTGACTCGTGTGTCTACCTTGATTCTTGTATTCTTTCTAATTTATCTTTAAATTCATCATCTGATGTCTGTGTCATAAATTTGCATTAATTGAATGCATAGTTACTGCGCTGTTTATATTCGTCAACCAATCACTGAGCGTATGATTTCGGTTTACATTAAACGACATGAAATAGAATGTTCCCACTGAACTGTGGGAATAGTATTCAGATGTTAACACCAATAAATACAATTATTCTTATTGTAAGAATAATATTCAGTTGGAACCCATTGTCTGTATCACACCACCACAACTGTGTTAATTTCCCGTTTCTCAGTAATTAATACTGGTCGCTAAACAACTGTTTCTAAACTTATATTGTGCATCGACTCAATAGCATTGCTGACTTAGAGTTCAGTTATGAAGTATTAACAGATGAAATGTAAACAATAATGGCCATCGTTGTTGTTTAATGATAAGCTTTTTACGGGAAGTGATGCACTAAACTAGAGGCACTATTCTCACAAACACTATGTAACCATTTGACAAGGCTGTCTCGACTCTCATCACTGATACCAATGATATTGTGACTAATTATCAAATCTCAATCAGAAACATTTTTTTTTTCATATAAAGATTCCTTCAACCATCAGTTATTAACTCATATTTGGAGCGAAGGTTGCGGACATCATGTGGGGTTAGTGGTATTTTAATTGATATCTTGTCAGTGTGTACATTTTGTGAAAAAAATCTGTTTCTATTCGCTTTAACATCGAACTTATTTTCTTGCCTTTACAGATAATCCAATCTCAACTGAAATCACCAAATTTCAGCTTTTCGGCTGTTCAGTAGTGTGATATTTGCTGGTCAAAAACAAAATTTCTCCTGTGAAAGAAACCACTTTCCTACCATCAAACCTATTCACCTTTATTGTCTCCACTGAATAGACTAGTCATTTGTTCATTTTCTTTACAATCGTGGAGGTCACTACTGTACAGCTTGTAGAAAACGGGTCAGTTGACCATAACAACTTAGTGTATCGTAAAGAAGGTGAAGAGCTTTCGCCATTGGAGACTACTACGAAAGCAGAAGTACCTGTTCTCAGCGAAGATATTAATCAAGGTGGTATTGTTATAGCGGAGCGAAGTGAAGACATCAGAGACGACTACGATAGTTATATTACAAAGGGAGTTGGGTCTGATTTACACAAAGAAACAGAATATCACCATATAGAAATACCAGAAGACGAAGGAGTCCTAGTATCTGACAACGAGCTTCCATCTCCTCCACTTTCAGTTTGTCAGGAGCTACAACTAGAGAATACTGAAGAACATTTCCCGCCAACGCCTTCACCAAGTCCTAAGGATCATAGTGATATAGCATCGCATATTGGTGAAGTTGCTTCGGGTGACTTCTTGTCAAACAATCAAGAATCTAAAACGGAACAAGTTTCTTCAAATAAAGAAGAAGAAGAAATTTTCTCAGAAGAACCAACTTTCCAACGAACACACGAGTGTTTAGACGAAGTAGCTCCGAATTTATCCAGTTACACTGCAGACGAATTTGACAATCAGTCCGCTGATTACTTGAATGCAGATATTGGACCAGAGGTTCCTGTAACACAAGCAGACAACTTCACTGGTATTTCTGAACTGAAAGAAGAAGGTGACACATTCGAAACTGGAAATTTAGTCGCCGAGTCGCCGAACAGTGAGAAAGACTTAACTGAATTGCCTAATTTGGAAACAGTATCAGCTGAATCCCTGAAACTTGATAAAGAATTGACAGAATCTCCTAGTCTTGAAAGAGCATTTACTGAATCAGCTAACGTTGAGGAACAAGTGATTGCACCATCTTGTCTAGACCAACAAGTGGAACAGTTATCCAACTTTGAAGGAGAAGTTCACAGACCAGCTGAATTTCAGGGAGAAGCAGTTTCCTCATCCAAATTTGAGGAGGAGATAATTGAGTCTGCTGAATCACCTGACATTTTCACGTCTCAGTCGCAAATTGATACAGTGTGTTTTCAATCCCCTTTAACTGAATACCATCCAGTAGAAAAAGGAGAAGAAACAGAAGAAGAGGCAGATAAGGAGACAGAACAGTTCGACCAAGCATTGGTTACTGAACCGTCACACGAGAAAGACGCCGGCTCTTTTTACACACATTCTGAAGCATCATTAACAAAGGATTCAACTAACGAGTTTCTGGATAACAGTAATCGAAATTCACTAATATCGAGTGAGTCTGTACCGTCAAAACAACGCTCCTCTCTGACTAATTCAATAGGAGAGTCTGTCAACTGTATAACTGCTGATAATACCAATAGAAATTTAAAAGAACTAACGTGTGATACATCAATGGGGACAACAGTTGGTGTATCAGATATAATGGCAGATCAATCGGAAATCAAGGAATCGTACACTTCTTATCCATATGAAGTTGAGAATACACCATCTCAAAGTTCCTTTGGCCATTTAGGCGATACGAATGAAATGCCCAGTCATGGTGAATACCAGACAAGTCTGGACGATGGAGATGACGAATTGCCAATTGACAGGAAAGGCACCACTGAACACAATGTTTACGATGATGAAGATGATTACGAGGAAGATGTTGTTCACGATGAGTCAGAACAAACCAATATGAAAACTGAAGAAAGTTACACCACATTCACAAATTCCTCTCAGCCAAAACAAGAGCCACACGCAGATACTGCTGCACTTAAACAAAAAGAAATATCAAATCAATCGATAGTAAATACTGTTGGAGGGGACAACGGTCAGGACTTCGATGGAAGCTCGAAAATGACTTTCAATCAAATTAGAGAGGATTTAGAGAAAAAGAAGTGAGTTACTTCCTTGATTGTTTTTCCCTTACTTTTTCCAGGAAGGTTTTCATTTCTTGAAACATTCATTCCTCAAGTATTGTGAATCATGCAGACAAGGCTTATTGACTTAATCGATAATTGACTCTCAGTCAGTAGGCTGCTGGTTTGAATACTACCTATTTCAGCCTGGGTGACTGGGTAGTACCGCCAGCACTTTACACAATAAGTGTATGCCTCATAGTCTAGTACATGAGACATGCTTTGAGCATTACAAATCTCTTCGCTTATTTTATGCTAACTGCCGACTATTCAAGTAGTTCAAACTAATGTGCTGTACTGGCTTGCTCTCACATGTTCCACAACTTTTGCTTCTTCTTTGGGTCTAAAAAAAGGTGGACAGCTCATTTCAGTGGTTCGTATAACCTAGAGGACGAGTGTGTAGCGTTCATTTAAATGAATCTATATGGATTGATGAATTATTTAGTTGTTTCTTCTTTATTGTTAAACGGACACACATAACTTGCAGAAGAAAACTCAACTTGAGCCTATTGTTTACTCAAGTTTATTTTTATCTATTTTATCTCTTGAATAAGCTACTTCATCATTTCTAACACACTTTAAGCTGTCCACACAAACTCTCAACACAAGTGTAATTAATATTCTGACCAAAATCCCTATTATCATAACAGCTTCACAACAAATTACTGTAATTGCATCAGTCAGTTTGACTAAACAATCTATCTGAATGGCTGTTACTTTGGTGTCAATCGAAGCTTGCTGACTTACTCGCTTGCTATCCACCACTTGAATTATCCAATACAGAACTGTTATCCTAGTAGCTGAATAGATAGATGAGTATCACTGAAGGACTAGGATGAATGAGATAAACTGTACTCCCTGTTTTTCTCCTCTCTCTCTCTCTCTCGCTCGCTTATCTCTTTGGGAGAGAAAATTTCCCTAGCGTCATTGTTTCTAAATTTACAAGTTTGTCTGAATACAACTAATGTCCTTTCAAAGAATTATTTATTATTTTGCGCCTAAATACAAAAGCTATAAACACGTATATACATATATATATGCACATCACGTCAAGTTTACACACTACCTTCCTACTTCCAAATCGAAAGCAAAGTGATCTCATGATGATATAGAAAAAAAAAGAGGAGAAGAATGGAATAAAGAAATCGAAAGTTGTCTACCATCTGGGTTGAAGTTTTTTTCAAAGCATGTGATATTTTTACTAGTGTTCTTTTTAAAAAAATAATTGAAATACTCCTCTCGTAGCTGAGAATTTTCGGTAATATATATATAATTGAATTTTTCGAAACTTTTGACTTCATGTTAAAATAATAGTGTATTAAAATAACCATAGATTTGTTCCAGTTTACGTTGCGACTTCTTCTGCAAGCTCGAGCTCGAGCTCTCTCATACACATACACACACACCTTATCTACATAGACATCAGTGCAAATAAACCAGAAGAGAAGGTGGTGAAGTTCAACAATAGCATCCCAGGAGTGTGAACGCTCCAGTGACCTTGAACGCATGCTAGTCGTTGGATAACGGCATCTGTCATTATCATAGTTGAAATATCAACGCTATTCACCAACTTAGGAGCAAATTTCACCCAAATCACGTTTTTAAGTACTGTTTGGATAATGGGTTAATAGCTCGTTAGGGTTAAGATTGGGGTTAAGGTAAATATTGGGACTAGGGTTAGGATCAGGGTTATAATTAGGATTAGGGTTAGAATTAAGGTTAGGTTTAGTGTTAGGGGTAGGATTAAGCTTATGGTCACGATTAGGGATAGATTTATAGTTGATGTCATTTATTTTAATGTTTTTTATTATCCACGTTTTCCTGGTAAGTAGTTGTCTATCCCCTTGCTGGGAACCATCATAATTCAACCGAGGGCTTTTTTGGAAGACTGCAAGCAGGATGAGGGAGATAAACGATTCACAAAAACGGTTTATCTGTAGTCATCTCGGTGAATCCATGTACAGAAACTGATACTCCTCGTTACAATTAGGACGTATTTTTAAGCCATGTCAGAGAAAGATAAACTGCTTAATGCGTTTTCAAGCATTTTCTTGTTAATATACATCATTTTTTGAGCAAACATTCCTCATTTTTATGATTGGTCAGCTGAAGGTCACTCTTACGTTCGCACTTCTGGGACGCTATTGTTGAACTTTGCCGAGAAGGTCAAAAATATAGTTACAACTGCCCTTTATTGACTTAATCTAGTCTGATACCGTGGCAACCAACAAACTAATAATGTGAGAAATCGACATTTACTTAAAAAAAAAAAACACATCTATTATTTGACTTCAGTGTCCAGACTACTGAAATACAAAGTGATGAATAGTTCAGGAAAAAGCTTGGCCTTCCTTCTTTTCACTGCAACTTAAAGCATGTCTAGACGGATTGTATCCTGAGATTATATATAAAGCTAGTATCAGAGAAGAGAAAAAAAGTACTACTTTGCTGTAGTAGCCAATCAGATTTCAGCTTAGTGAGATAGATGGAAATGGAATTTGCAGGCAATTAATTATACAGCCGCACTTTGATTTCGTTGTCTTTTATTTTGCCAATATATATATATATATATATATATATATATATATATATATATGCAACGGAAGGTACTTGCAATGTGCGTTTTAAATATTTTGTTATTGTCTGCTAAACAACAAATTGGACACAAAGAAACTAACTATCTAGTCATGACTGCTTAGCTGAGATATACACGCGTACAGCAGACTAGTGATTTCTGATGTACCAATATAAAACCGGTTCAATAAATAAGGAAATAAGAGTCGGTATATGACTCAAATGGAAAAAGCGATTATTTCCCCCAAAAGACTGCTGTTATATTATGAGATAAACAGTGTATAAATCACTGATAAACTAAATTCTTTTTTGTTTTGGTATTTAGTAAAAGATCACAGTACAAGACTGATTCTTGGCGTCTATAACTCACGTAGTGTGGTTGAGATATTTCCGATTCTAATTTATGCCTCAAAAGTGTCATAAACTAACAACCACTGAATGAAATCCCATATTAATTTGTATGTTGAATATGTATCACTGTAACTACACAACTTTGAGACTTGAGTTTTACATTAGTCAGTCTTCTTTCCCATTTGTCGTAAGGGTAGAACATTTTTCCAGATGTGCGCGTGACAACTGCTGAGTCATTCCTGTTTGCATGTGTTCTCAGTTGATTCGATAAATAAGGCTTCAGTTATCAATCTCCCCCTCGATCCTGTTATTTTAGATTTTATAACTGTCACCTTTTGTATGTAGCTGAGCTGTCTTCTAGAGTTCTTATCTTATTAGGATCAACTAATTTATATTTATCTAGGTGTTTCTCTGCACCATTGGTTTAACTGACCCCGGCCTGATAATTGAAGCTTTATTTATCAAGTATTGGTGTGCATGGACTTGATCACTAGTTGACATCAGTCGTAGAAGGAATAGAAAACCTGAGGGTACTGAACAGCTGTTTCGTCCTGCTTTGGGACTCCTCATCAGTAGGCATCCACTGGGGGCCAAATCCCTGGACCTTCCGGTAACAGGTCGAGCTTGTAGACAATTCACCCTCTAGGACCAGAACCAGTAGCTCACGAATTCCAACTTCTATCAGTTTGCAATATTTATTTATTTATCAAGTCAACTGAGAACATGAGCAATAGGAGTAAACTCAGCGCCTTTCCTGAACACCTGGAAAATTCTACCCCTTTGTCAAATGTGGAGAAAAAAAAGAGGAGCTATAAAATTCGAGTTCCGAAGTTGTGTAGTTATAATCGATATGATTGTGTACAATAAATTGTGTTCCCAACACCATCCAGTAAACAAACTAATACAGAAATGCATACTACCTCATTGCCCAAGTTTTACACATATATTAGCCACTGAATGACATCGTCGCTGAGCTGGGATAGTTTCTCAATAGACACTAGTTTATACTGTATCTGATCAATACAAAATCCCATTCAGCTATGGAAAATACAAACTAATACGACATGTATCATTGGACTTCCAGGTGTTTTTCTATCAGGCTTGGCTGAATTTACACAGGATGACGGCGGATAAGTGAAGGAATGGAAGATATATATATATATATATGTATATATAGAATGCTTCCCACACAGGCAAGAAAAACGGGTTGAATCCTCGCCTGAAGCACCCTGAAACCTAGTCTAGTTCACTGGTCAGTAGTAAGTCAGAGAAAGAGGGAAGGTTCGCCACGAGGATATCAACCTCAACCTGTAAAAATAAACGTGGCCATCGCTAATGAAACTTCAAAGTTTGAAGCCCTATACTCCACTCGGAACGCTGATAGTATGAAGAAAAAATGAATCCAATATGGCGATGGCGCTGTTTACGTCAATCACTGCCTAGCTTAATAATTTCTGTTGACTTTTTTCAGTTTTTTTTAAAATTAATATGTGTTGTAGCTGTGTAATTCACATGTGCTGAAATACAATTTATAAATAACAAAAGACTTTGGCGAAATGCACGTTAATAGCTCGCTTTTCATCCTACCCGATCAGTGACTCAAATAGACGTGTGAAAGTTGGCGTCATAAAGTATTTATGTGTATGTATAGGCGGTACTTCTATATGAAGGAGCACAAGAAAGTCAAAAAGTCACGTTACAGCCTAAATGTGATAGATCTATCGATCAGTCATATGATTTAAACTAAAGTATAACATTCGCTGTCGTATCAAGATGTAATTTAGGCAGGTTTTAAAACTTTTGAAGAATTTCCGATTAGATTAAAATCGATTTTCAGAGCGAAATTGACGTACAATTTAATAACAGTAACTGATTGATTTCCCAAAATAACCATAATTAAGTTTTTGGTACAATGGCGCATTTATGAAGTGACAAGAAGGCTTCTTGCCTATTGCCTCCAATCATCTAATATCATCAAATCAATGTGCACCGTGATGGCGAGCTACCTAGAATGGTAGCCACATTGCAAACCTGACTGATAAAACTCAGTCTGCACCAAAGAAAGGACTAGACACATCACACTATAGTTACTACTGTCCAATCAAAGGATACATCAATTAAAAACCCTAGACAACTGATAAATACTCACGAATCCTTATTAAAAGGAACCATTTCAAGTAAGTTAACTGGGAAGTGCGAACATTGGTTTAAAAGAAAATTGAATCAATGGTATGGTGATAATATGAACCAATCAAATTTAACCAGTTCATGATTAATGTAGTGTAAAAAGGTATGACAAAATTAAATCTGGAGGAGAGGGAGGGAGACTGAGACATATTCTTCTTCAAGATTAGGGTGATCCGTGAAGTTAAGTAATCTCGAGAAAAACTCTGCATTCATTTGTATGCAGTCACACACAATACGTTGGGATAAAGTAAAAACAAAAATAACCGAAATTTAATATTAGTTAGGTGGAGAGAGACAGAGTGGTTAATCACAGAATTTTTGTTCATTGAATCAACACCAGACAGGCGCAATAGGAATGACACCGCACCTGTCGAGCGAAATATTACGAAAATGGAACAGGATTATGAGCAATAAATTGTGCTCAAAATATAACCCAACGACTGAAACCATATCAGTGTGTGTCATATCAAAAATAAATCTGTCTAACATGGGTGTCAATTATATTTCTACTGCTGTGACCCGCTCACTCTTCTTGCACTAACGTTTTTCAGGCTGACTAATTGAGGGACGGAAGAAGGCACCCAGTAGACTTCATTGTATGACATTAGGTGATTCGGTGGTACCTCGTTTGCTTCCCTTGTCCATGAATGTACACAAGCAGATACACATACACATGCACACACACCACTGATATTTTGTTACCACAGTAACAAACTCCTCTAAGTTGCTCAAATCACTAAGTCACACTTGTAAGAGATAGCGAAAAAAATACACGACGAAGTGTTGTTACACTATATATCTATTGAAATCTGTTCCATTTTGGTACTGATAAGAATAGTTTAGTTCACGTGTTCACACCTATACATTTGTATAAACACATACATACAGACACACAACACACCAACATAGGCACAAATTAGACACACCTTCAGATTTGGTAAATCTCTTAAATGGGATGGAATTGTGAATATAATTTTACTGACTGACTGACTTCTACGCAAAAGTACAAACACATTTATTCAATACTTGTATATATAGTGAAAAGTTCAGAGTACTGCACTTTTAACTGGTATTGTTTCGAATACCATTATTATTTAAAGAGGTATCTGTAATTGGTTTCTTTTCTATGGAGATTTCGTATCATGGTTTCAGGTTTGATTTATATAGTAGTAGTGAACCGACATCTAGAAGTAGGTAAGAGTGCAGACGAGAAATAATTATTATATAGTAGTTAGTGAACGGAAAACGATGACTTTCAATGTTCGTGTGTATATGTGTGTAAGCAGGTACACGTGTGTGTACACCCACTACTACTAGAGCAGTGTGCACACTACACACACATAACCACAACATACCTTCATACTATTGGTCATCTAGTAATCGAGGCTGTCACATGACTTCTTTAGTGTGTCTTGTTTTTGAATGTTCTTAATTTTTATTCTATTAAAGCCTACACACACTAAGCCGTGGTTATCATCGTCCTATCTCAATTGAAATACGCTGTCGTTGTTCCCGTTGTTCTTGCGATTAGATTAGGTCTATGGTGGTTGGTTTATGAATGAATGAATACCTTACATTGCTACCGTAGGGTAAAAATCTGTACATGATATGATATTTAAACCAATTTTTGTAATTTTGCTGTGATTTTACTGTCACCACACAAACACACACACGCACACATTCATTTCTTATATTCAATTCACTAGAATTTCGTCAGTTAATTTATACGGACTTTTATCTATTCTATTGTATTAACCGCATAGTGTGGTCGGTTCCCTGCAACCCTTACACCCTGAACAGTATATAATGCATCATCAAGCTGGTGTACTTCGACAACAACAACAAGAGATGGTAGTTTTGAATCCACAAACTGGAGAAGTATTAAATGATCGGTATTCTGCAGCAACTACTGCTATTACAACTGCTCCTACTAATACATCACATCATTTCGCTAGAAATCTAACGTCAAACGATACTGTAGTTACAACTGGTGGAAATGTCAACGGTCCATCAAGCGGGCATGTAACAACAGGACAACAGAAGAGTTCCGTCTATCGTAAAACTGAACAGAATTCTGTAGATGGGACAAATGGCGGAGCAGGAGGTATGAGCGCGAACAGCAATGGAGGCAGTGCCGGTGGTAGAGGTGGAGCCTCAGCTGGTGGTTTGGATCGTTGTAGGCAGGCGTACAATATGTTTGAATGTCAGATGGCTCAACTTACAGTGTTTCTGGATCGTGCATTGATATGCAGGCGAATAAGGCCACGTTTCAATGCTTCGGAAATTACTGAAGTCCTTTTCGAGCACTTGTCACCAGCAATTGATAAAGATTCAATTCGGTAAGTGTTGTCGTATTGTTTAACATTAGTTTTTTAGTTGTAGTTTTTTTTTGAATACCTTAGTAAAAACTAATTATATTTATCTGTTTCATAGTTAATGCATGAGTTTCTTCATTACTGAAATGGACAGATTTTAAAAAGGGGAAAATACCTTTCAGGTGGATAGTTGTCGTGACTTACTTGCTGTGTAAACTGTTTTCACTAAATGACTTGAAATACAAAAAACATCTAAAACAAAACGCTGCGCTAGACAGTTATTGATTGTTGTTTTTTCCCCTACAAGATAACTTTATATATCCTCCGCACACGAGTTAATTGTTATTAGTATCTGTTTCTTGCAGTTCTGAGTGGAACATTACACTTCAGTGACACATCTCTATTATACCCTATTCTTCTGCCATCATTTTCAACCGACTCCAGGACAGCCTACAAACTTTCATTTCCACTTTGCATCATCCTCTCGATGTGGCCCTCAAACCCCCCATCGCTTCGTGTTTGGGTGCCATCCGAACACTTAGCGTACGTTCATGCCATCACCTGTTCCTATTTGTTGGTTTCGCAACAGATTACTGGTTGCTTTTACTGCCTATGAGAGTTCCTTGTTGGTTGCTTATCCTTTTTGGCCGGTCATCTGATCTTCTCTATCGAGATAGAGAAGGGGGCAACTGTTGATGAAAGTCGGAAGTAGGCTGTTTGTTGGGAATATGTTCGACAACACGTGCCAAGTCTCTAAACTATATACAAGTAGTGACTTGACTTTATCATTGAGAATTCGGACAATCGTGCAGTTTTCCATGTGACATTCTGCACCTATTCTTATTTAGTCTTACGGCAGTATTCATGACTAATTTGCTTTGTGGCATAGAGAAGACTACGTTATAATATAAGTAATTAATCAGTGTAAAATCTTAAGGTTTTTAGATTATGCATGCAAAAGATTTCTCTGAGTAACAAACTTCACTTACCGGTCAACCATCTGTGCCTGTATCTATGTTTGTGTTTCATCTCCTTAGGTGAAGGAATTGTTTTGTTTTATTTAATAAACATGTACTTTTAAAAAAACGCTAATTAATCAGCACACTTTAAAATGTTTCAATCTTATCATAATATGTGATGCTTTTGTGGACAACATAAGTCATTAATTAATTAGACTTGTGAGCCCTGATTTCTCTTCAATCAGTGCTTTTGCTCAGAAGTTGTTCTATAAATGAAAAACAAAACTGACTGCCTTCCTAGGTTTACCTGTTATTCTAGGCATATGCGTAACTGAGATAGAGATATGCCGTCGGATAGTCTGTGTATCTGGAATATCTGAACAGTTCGAACTCATAGAAACTGCTGGTTGATTCATCCTTTTAGGACGACCAGCTATTAAGGCTGTTCACCTGAGGAAATGGGAAGCAATTAGCTTATGTAAATGTGTTATGTGTTGTCTTTTGCCTGACATCAGATTATTGATGGTGTTTTTCACTCCAACATTTTTAATCAGTCCTTAAAAACAAGCCTCTTAAAACGATTCCAGCGAATGTAGAAGAAGAGTTATCTATTGTAATTGGACTCTTTTTCTCATATTTGTTAGCGACAGTCAGTCTTCACGAGGTATAAATGAGTGATTTATACACTCCCCGCATGAAATAAACTGGCGGTATCCAGCACGCATCTGAAGCAAGTAGCTACTGAACCGGTTGAATTTTAATCGTTCATTGCTTGTTTCTCACTACACTACTATTGTAACAACAGAAGGCAAGATACGGAAGCCAAGGTATATTTTCAAGTGATCAAACCACCACATATATAGTTTTATATTCTCTAACCAATCACTGAGCGTGTGATTTTGGATTACATTAAACGACATGAAATAGAATGTTCAAATAGATATATTGTATTCTGTTGCTAATGCTGTATTGAATTGTGGGAATATGTTAGAATCATATTCGGTTGGATGCGTCGGTGGCATAGCGGTTAGGACGCTCGCCGACTATGCACATGGTCCGGGGTTCGATCCCCGGCCGGCGCACTCCTTTACCTCGCTAAGCCAGAAATAACGCTGGTGAAGAGAAAGGTTGGGCATGAGGCTAGCAACCCCATCCTGCTACAGAAACTTCAAGCCTCTAGCTTGAAGCCCTATGTTCCACTGGGAACGTGAAGGAATAAAAAAAATATATTCCGTTGGAACACACTGTCTGTATTACACCACCACACTATGAGTATTTGATTTCAGTATTATGATAATGAAAACATTTGACTGCATACAGTTGACACTACAACTGCACTGGCTAAGACTTACTTTTTAGTGTGACTATATGTGCTTTGAAATCACGTCTTCTCCGGACAGATTGCAACTGGCATTATGACTATTCCCGTTACTTTTAATAATTTTGCTTACAGGTATTAGCATTCACTGGCTGTCTTTCTGTTTACTAATTCTTCAGGAAAAACAGTTGTACCTTAAAGCTGAGATTTAGCCCAAGTAGCTTTTCACCTCATGAGTTTAATAATAACGTCTATATTGTGGATTAGAACAATAGAATCTTTATATTTCGCTCTAATTAACCTGAATGTGTTTGTATCTCATTAGGTTGGTGTTCTAACCAAATGACTCGACAAGGGTGCACATCATTTCCGAACTGTTTAAGTCCTTAATTTGTAATAGTAGGCTATTGAGTAATAAATATATCTTGACCATCTCTGTTCGGCTGGATACATTCTAATAATTGATTAACTGGACTCTAGTAAGTAATGAAGTATTCGTTGTATGTTAAAAATCTGTCCATTGCAACTCATGACTGGAATACGTGGATTCTTTTCCACTCAAAACTCAGTTGTTACAGGAATGGGGATGATGAAGAAGAAGAAGATTCGTTGGTCAGGTGGATGATATTAGAGTACTTGTGTCCTCTGAGCTGGATAGTTTAATCGGAGAGCTTACACTGTCTCTCTAGACAACAGCTTTAGCGCATTCTGTCTATGGGAAAGAAACATGCTTTAGATTAAATCATTGTTTTTAGTAAAATAGTTCCTGAGGCGTATTCATTGCTCTTTAGTATTAGAAAAATTCACAGCTATTCTTTAGAAATGGTAGATAAAGTCATTTAGGAGAGAACATAGCAGATGAGAAAATTTCATTTAGTTGTTAGAAGCTCTTGCCGACGCCGGTGACACACCAGTCGGTATGTCAATGTTGGCTTCAAATTATTCCTTTAGTCTATTGCCCAAATGGTTTAATGGCAGAATGCTAGCCAACCATGTGGGAGGTTCTGCTTTGATTTCAGGCCGGTGCACTCACCTAGCCGAAAATAGGCCCGGAAAAGAGGGACGGTTGGACTTGGTGCTAGCAATCCCAACCCGTAGAAGCAATACTACTGCTGTTGAAGTTCAAGAGCTTGATGAAGCTCTATGTTTCACTCAGAATGTAAGAAGTATTCCATTTGATATCCACACTGATAACTTTTTGAATAATACTGCGTGTGAATTATAATTTTATGTTCTTAAAAAAGCCATCTTGAAGGAGTTAACGCGCTGAAGGTGGATTGGTTGGGAGAGAAAAGGATCAGATAGATAGATAGATAGACAGGCAGACAGACCATCTCTGCATTCTATGATGCGCTTAATTTGCTTCTATAATTTTTGGAATTAACGTTTTATCACTATGCTGATTGATTGTGTACAAAATACTCTTATCCATTCTTAAATTGCTCATCAGTTGCTTTTCACTAAGCATTTCAGTAGTATATTTCTCTTGAATGTTATGTTTCCTACCTCTTCTTCTGAAAGCGACAGTCAATCACATATAAATAGATTTTGTTTACGTTTACGTAATCCTCCAGGAAGGAGACTCACCTCTGTAAGCATAAACACCTAAAATGTGCGTACACACACACACACACAACACTCACTCATTTAACAAAAAGCGAAATAGTAAACAAATGGACAGATAAGCAAATAATGACTGTAATTAATACGAGGAGAAATGTTTTGAGGTTAGGCTTTTTGACAAACAAGTAAACAACATTCATTTGATTTATTGATTATGAGGAGGACGGGGGAACCTTTTTCCAATTAATTGAAAAGTTGAATAACAGCAATAGGAATTATGTAAATTTGATTTAATGCCAATAGTTCGCTTCTGTTTACCTTCTGACTGTTTGTTTTGTGTATGTGTGTGTTTGTTACCTGTTGAAAATAAACAGAGATTGTTTTTCAGAGGAGAACAGCAGAAATAAATTGAAGGTGTCTGTCGTCTTCGGTTTTTGTTAGGCCAACGGAAGTTGGTGGACGTTCAGATACAGACAGGTTTTGTCCGATCACTGCCTCAATTCTCTTCTGTAGAGTTTCACCATATATGCATACACTGAAAGCCTAGCCTAGCTTACACTAGCATATAGTAAGTTCGGAAAAGAAAGTGGATAGATTGGGTGTGAGGCTGGGTAACGTGAACCCCCCCCACCCCGTAAAACACCACCACTACCACTGGAACTTCAAAGCTTGAAGCCCTGTGTTCTACTTGAAAAGCAAGGAGTGAAACAAGAAATTTTTAAACTCTGTTCGGTGTGTCTAATTGTAGCATTGTAGTTACGACCTGTGAGTTTGAATACTTTTTATTAGATATGGGATGTGCCAGCCTTACTGAATAGCGTATTTAAGTTGAAATTCTACAGCTGTATGTTGTTTGTTTTTTTTGTAAAAACTATTTCTGAACATTATTCATCATTTAGTGTTTTAGGCTTTATAAGACTATACTACTTAACTGACGTCTCTTCTTCCTGACATTTTACACCTTTATTGACATTTCCAATGAGCTTAGAAACACCCCATATCACCCATATAGCTTTTCATACAGCCGGTTCCCTTTATTCGTTTGAATAAAGAAAGAATGAACATATTTGCAGGACAATAAGACGAGCTCGTTTTATTTCGTGGATTCTCTTCAACTGCGTACATCCTAAATAAATCAGCTAGCTATATGTTACAAAATGGTGTCTGAACATACTTTTTACAAT